GGGTTTGTGGGATTTTAAATGCATCCGAATTTAATATATTCCGCACAGTATTACCGTCTCTTGTTTTTGTACTTCCGACATTGTTTTGTTTTGAGAAATACTTACGTGAGTAAGTGTTGAACTTAAGTACTGCTTATCTATTACGCTCGAACCGCAAGTGAAAATAAAATAAATATTACGTTGTTCATATAGGATTGCATAAGTAGCGCGCACCGACAGGAATAAGATAAACATGCATAAACTCGTTTACCGCATTCGACGCTCAATCGTACTCAACAAGTAAGGACAAGTATTCTATGAACCAGCCGATTGATACAGGAATGCACAAATCGGGTTATTTAACAAAAACTTGTTAATACATGATTGCCCGCGGTCTATTATCTACGAAAATTACCTATCTAGGAATACTAATAACTATTAAAATGCGAAAGTGTGTCTGTTGCCTTTTATTTTGTTTGTTTGTGTCTACTTTCATTTCGAATCGGAGCGACCGATTGATATGATTTTTATTTTATTTATTCAATAAAACAGAACAGATATACGAGTATGAACTACGCGGAGAGAAATATCGAACCGGCTTTGACCAATCTCTTAAGTAAATTAGTTGATGTTCACAAGTTGTAGTCGAGAGTCGAGAGCTCAGCCGGTGTCTAAGACTCCTCCTAGCTAGATGAAAGTATATCTCGCCCCCAAGCCTCTACATACACTACTGGTAGAAAATCTGCAGTCATTTTATCTTCTAGAATGATTGTTGTGAAATGACTTGTCAGTCAAAATCTTAAAACAAAACCTATAAAACACCATCTTACCCAAAACATTTTCATGTAAAATATTGCCAAGAAGCTACAATAGCCATATGGTCTCGCGACATGGCTATTGTAGCTTCGTAAGTGACCCATTATTTTTTGTAATATTAAAATAAAAAATGGTTACTGTGGGTTATCCTTAGGTGAGAGACATAATCCATCGAGAACTTTTTGTAGATCTTTTTAAGATATACAATTCCTTAGTACATTATTTTGGTCTATCTCTTAAGGTTTAGCCAGCGTTTGCAATGTAAGCGCACCAAAACATGTTTTAAACAACAAATCTTTGAAATTATCGGATTTCCTCTACTGCAATATGCATGTATTATACATATAAACCTTCCTTTTGAATCACTCTCTCTATTGGTGAAAACCGCACACCGTCACACATAGGGGTATTTGACCCAAAAAGCTATTATTAAAATATTTTTGGTCTCGAACGAGGCCTCCAATATATCATTGATTTAATATAACATACAACAGAAGATCACTACTGACGACGATGTATAATTTTCTGTTGTAGTTGTTGATAATACAAGTAGTTGTATTATCAGTTTTTGCAAATGAACAACTAGTTGACGGTTCGGTAGGTAGTACTTAATAAATTCAGTGTTTCTTTGTGGAAAGGTTTCGATATCTTCTTTGACACCTTTCTTAAGCCCGTAATGACATGGACGCGAGGGTCTATGACCAGACTCGCGCGATCCGCTGGGGTGAGAGCGGGGAAGACCAGGACGCGCTCGAAATGCGGCGGAACGCTCACCAACATGCACTGGTGCAGTGGCACGTGCGGCTGGAACAACCACAGAATGCACGCCAACGCGCTGTCAGCGCTGTTCTGCCTAACCTCGAAGCCTGGGTAGGCAGGGAGGGAGGTCGCGTCACCTATCGACTGACGCAGGTACTCACTGGGCATGGTTGCTTCGGTGAGTACCTGAATCGTATCGGACGCGAGGAGACGGCACAATGCCAGCACTGCGCAGCCGACTTTGACTCCGCCCAGCACACGCTGGAAGACTGCCCCGCGTGGGCGTCTGAACGCGAAGTCCTGGTCGGCCAAATCGGAAGAGACCTGTCCCCGCCAGCAATCAGTGCTGCCATGCTGGCGGGTGAGGAGGGATGGGGCGCAGTAATGCTCCAGAAAGAGACCGCTGAACGGGATCGGGAGAGGGCCGATCCTGAGCGTAGAGGACGTCGGCGACCATACCAGCCACCGACGGGGCCGCGGGCCGCCAGAGAGTGGGGACCTCTGGTCGCTGATTGAATGTTGCGGTAGGGGATAGGATGGCGGCCTGATTGCATTAAGACCAAATTGGGCCGCCACGTCGCGATTGAGGGGGGAAGTGATTTTCCCCTGGGATAGGGCCTGACTAGGCATGGTGTCAATTCGGGGAGGACCTGAAATAACATGGTCCGGGTCCTCCCAGAGTAGGGCACCTGAGGCCGCCACATACTCCTGGCTCCTATATCTCCAAGGAGCCGGACATCCGCAGGGATTTTCCACTCCGTCAACAAAAAAAAAGGGTTAGGTCTATGCCAGTTATTGAGGCAGACAATTTATGGTCCGAGAAAAATCGTCTGCTAGTATTGCCATCATTCGAATTACCGAAATTGGCTTTAGGAACATCTACAATTAGTCCCATCTTCTTTCTAAATTTGTTCTGTATTTCTTTTTTTATTTATCAGTCTGTGTTCTTAATTACCACTTTTTGAGAGGTAATTTGTGTGACGAATGCAATATGTTTTTAAAAACCTTATTCGGACGTGTAGAAGCGAAAGGCCAAATTGTAAAGATTCAAGTGAGAGAGAGAGTCAATACTTCTCTTCTTTTCGATAAATCGTTAAATTCTTTAGATGTATCGCCACATATGTAACACCTTATAGTTGATGTTGTTTGTGTTGCTGTGTTGCACACCTTGCTTACCAGGGAATTAAAATGGCAATGACGTCACTCCATTATGCCAATCCTCGTTGCTATGTTCAAATACATTATTCTTTTTATGTGCTGCTTGCCATCGGGATTTAAATTGATTCTTTATCAAAGATAATTTTCGTCTGCCTGCTTCAATTTCATGTACAATTTATAGCATAGAAAATCTTAGAAAGTAACTAAAACTCTTAAAGATGCAGTCGAAATATCTAAAATCACATTCATGTTTTTGTTATGTAAAATACATAACGTAAAATACATACATAACAAAAAATGATTGGTTGTAATGTTGTATGTACAGGTGGCCCCGCTATTTGTCCTATCATTACTTAATTTTAATGTTTTGAAGGCACGTAAAATCCCCGCTAATATCCTTGTAATTTTATTGAACGGACTAAATTTAACTAATAATTTTATTAAAATGCTCTCGTTAACATTATTTTGGCAAGAATTTATTTTATTCGGGGTTGATTTTCCTTTTAGTTCTTGGTCAGTGGTATAAACCATTCGACTAGTTTCAAGATTGTTCAGTGAACGATTTCAAAGATTGTGGTCCATGCCACCACAGAGATAAGTCCTTTAATTGTAAGGAGGAAATACCTATAGATTTTGGATTGATGGATCGATTTTCCTAGGATCTTATGTACCGCCAGAATTTGGGCTTCATTGTTTCAGTTATAGCTTTAGTCCTATTTGCCACAAAGGGCTTTTATCAGCTTAATTCACCCGGTAGTCATCCTAAGACAACCATTGAATCGGTCCACCTATAGATGCGAATATCCAGCTCGCTTAAACATCTGATAGAGTCTGGCCACGCTAACTCTGCAGAAGTAAGAAAATTATGGAATTTGAAAATCTATGGATGGTAACACCGTCTATACTACGAAAAACTAATTTGATACTAGTTGTTTTATTTTAGCCAAGTTATTTTGTTTATATTTTGATCTTTTCTTGGTAAAGAATAGTCATGACTTCAGCACGATGCATTGTAGACTTGATACAGTTTTTGAGGTAGAGCATAAGTAGGTACGATACAGGTTATAATAATTCTAGATCCTAACTTTAAAAAATCTACTGAGGCTATTGTTTATCTACACATTAATAATACTTTAGCCTTTACTTTAAGGAGACCTCTAAAACTACTCAAGGACAATATAAAAATAACGATAGATTTTTGAATGTTAAACATCATTTATTTATTTTTGTTATGTTATTTCGTGTTATATGTACAAATGAAACCATAGCAAACACAATCATTCATCAGAATCAGAGTCTAAATATTCAATGCCTTCAAATTCAACGGGCTCATCATCTATATTACTATCATCGCTGTCAGATTCTTGTAGGTATATTATAAATGGAATAGCATCATCCAGTAACCTGTATTTTATTTTGTGCTCCTCTTCTAACCGTTTCACATGTCCAGCATATTTTTTCCAATCATCCGCTGTGACTGATGCTTCTTCAATTACTTCTTCAATTTTTTTTATCATTCCTTCCGGCGTGTTTTTAACATTTTTTTCGGCAATTTGCTTTTTACTTGGCTCCATACCAGCTCAATGGGGTTGAAGTGGCAACGGTGGCAATCTCAAAACTTCGTGGCCGTGTTCTTTTAACATTTCATCTATGAAGTAAATTGGATCAGGTTTGTTCCTTTTCACCAAACAAAGAAGTTCTATTTTTGTGAACTCGTCTGACCATGTAATATTATTACTAGCCAGCCAGTCTCTAATTTCTTTTTTCTTGAATTGGTATTTGGTGGCCTATTTATTTGTATACTATGGTAGCTAGCTACTCGAAGACTACTGTTTACCAAACTATTGAACAACAGGGGGTTACACCGGACGAGACCCGGGCGTAGCTAGTAATCTGTTCGCCCGCGGGGCCCACCCGCACTGGGTCGACCTCATTAGTCACGCTCCCCACCGAACTAAAATCCCCGGAACTACCAACAGGCCCTAATCCTATGGCGCTACAATATTCATAAAAAATTTTAGGAAATATAGCAACTCATAGTTTTTTGCGACCGAGAGTTAATAACTCTAAAGATAACGTATTTATACCTACATTAACGATTTAATTTTATCTTAAATTGTTGCTTGGGACGCGCGGACGTTGCTATGTTGGGAATTACATTATTAATTTTTATAATATCATCTCTTATTGTCTTATACTTCTACTTTCGTCGTAAATATGGATATTGGAAGGAACGCGGGATTCCTTACGAGGAACCCACTGTGTTAATTGGAAATCTTAAACATGTCATGAGGAAAAGTACGGGAGAATTCATGTATGATTTGGCAAAAAAATTCAAAACTGACTACGTGGGAATATTTTTAGGACAACAACCGGTCCTAGTGATACATTCCAAAGAACTCGCTAAGAAAGTACTCGTCAAAGATTTTGATAATTTTCAAAACCGCTACAGCTACCCGGATCCTGACACTGATCCCTTGGGAACATTAAATTTGTTTACTGTAAGGGTAAGTAAAACCAATCATATTATAAATAAACTCAAGGTCAATTGTTACAAAAATTATTATTGTTATAACTTTTTTACTGTATTTCCAACTCCTCCAATTTTCTTCTGTTATAACATTTCATTGTTATACTACTGGTGGGTACTCTGTTATCGTATTCATACGTATTTTATAAATGTGAAAATAAGTTTGTTTGTTTGCATCAAAGTTGCTTTTATGCATAAACCACTAAACCGATTTTTTAAATTCTTTCACCAATGGACAGCTACATTATTTAGCTAGTTTAGTTTAGTTAGTAACGTAGCTACTTTTTACCGCGATAACCGACACCCACGCGAACGGAGCTGTAAAGCTAGTATTAAATGTATCTGAACTCAGTGATATTAATTTACTAATTCATAACTTAAATATATTTTTTTTCCTATGAGAGTATTTTCAGATACCAATACAATACCTGAAGAGTATTATAGCCCCGTGTTATCACTGCTAATAGGAAAAGAACATTAACCATCACCAATTGTTACTTACTGTGTTTATCAGCAGTCTGGCTCTGCCTAGTTTGGCATAACGTCCTCGGAGAAAGAGACCGCGACTGCCCATCCCTCGCCACTAGCCAGCATAACCGCGATCAATGCTGGCGGTGACAGGTTTCGTCCGATCTGTCCGACCAAGACTTGACGTTCAGACTCCCACGTAGGGCAGTCCTCCAGCGTGCGCTGGGCGGAGTCCCGGTCGGACCCGCAATAGTGGCATTGTGCCGTGACCTCCCGTCCAATTCGATTCAGATACTCGCCGAAGCAACCGTGCCCGGTGAGCATCTGAGTCAATGGGTAGGTGACATAGCCGTTCCTCCCTACCCACGCTTCGAAGCTCGGCAGAACGGCTCCGACGGCACAGCCCTGGATTTCGAGCCGTGCCTGCCAGGTCTGCAGAGCCTGCGTATGCGCGTTCCGCCTTAGCATTTCGGGATCCTGATCTGGCGCGGCCCCTTCACCATTCTGACCGACAGAGCGAACTTGGTCATAGACCATTGCGTCCATGTCTGCCAAAATGTCGAAGGGTGTATATCGCGCCAGGACCGTCGCCGCCTCAAACGAGATTGTACGATAGCCCCTTACGATTCGTATGGCCATCAACCGCTGCAGGCCTCTGAGTAGAGCCCTACAGCGGCAGACACCCGCCAAGTCTTTAGCCCAAAAGGGTGCCCCATAGAGGACCATGGATCGCACGACGCCCATGTAGAGGCGGCGAACTTCTTCAAGTGGTCTCCCGAGATTGGGCAGCAGGCGATGCAGCGCACCCGGTGCCCCTCGCACTCGGGGGACTAATCGCTCGAAATGCTCTTCGAAGCGCCACCGACTGTCCAGGATGAGGCCTAAGTACTTCATGTACCGTCCAATCTGGACTTCAGCGTCACCAACCTGGAGGTATGAGCTGGGTGGTTCCTGGCGCTTACGCAGGCCATGGAACCATATCGCCTCAGTTTCCTGAGGCGCCATTCTCAGACCCAGCTCATGAATCATTCCCACTACCCCCCCCCAGTACCGACAGAGCTATCACCAGCGCGCGACCTGGAACACCATCAGGTCCGGGCGCAGTGTTGCGTACGACTCGGTCCAGCTCTTCCTCCGTCACCTCATACTCGTCGGACTAGAGTTGCCGGTCCGATTGCGACGGAAGGATCAAGGGACTGTCTTGGACCCTTGGGAAGAGCGGGTCTACTACTCTTCCTAGAAACTCCGGGTCCAAGGTTTCCGTCAACGGAGAGATCCATGGTTTTAACTTGACCAGTAAAATTTTGTACGTTCGCCCCCATGGGTCCCTATCCAGTCTCCCGATGAGTTCTTTCCAGGACCGAGCCTCAGCCTCGGCGATTGCATCGCTGAGAGCCTTTACAGCAGCTCTATATTCCCTCCGTGCTACGTCGATCTCCTCGGCGGTGGCTCGCCGTCTTCTCCTGGCTCGAAGGGACGGGCGGAGCAATCTCGCGACTGTCATTCTCAGCTGTGAGATCTCCGCGCTCCACCAGTACGCCGAGCCCTTTCTGGCGGGCCTGACTCGTGGCATTGAGGTATCACATATGGACGCCACAATGTTCCCAAACCAGGCCGCCTGTTCTTCTGGATCGGACGAAACCCTTTTCTCCAACCAATCCGCGACGTGGGAAGCGGCAACAACCATCTCTCGGTCAAGCCGCTTGAGGGACCATCGTCGCGGAGGTTCTCTATCCTGGCGTTGGCGGTCAGAGCGCGGCGGAGAGACACGTCGAATAAGATGTGCCGGTGGTCAGAAAGATTGACCACTTCCTCCGCCACCTGCCATCCCGACATCATGTGCACTGCAGAGGGAGTCGCCCACGACAGGTCGACAATCGACTCCCCCTGCCATCGCACGCAGGTGCTAACTGAACCCTGATTAAAAAGTCGGAGTTCTAGCCCAGCCCACTCCAGGATAGTCTCTACCGGTTTGGTTTAGCAGAAAAAGTTACAACCACATATTCGCGGTGTGAAATTTCAAAGCATTATTAATTACTGTCTCCAATTCCTTACAGAACCCTATCTGGAGTGCAATGAAACACGAACTGAGGCCAATGTTCACGACTCTACGTCTCAAAGGTATTACAGAACTGATGAACATTAACTCAGCTGAATTAGTGCGAAGGATTCAAATCGATTATATAGAGAATAAAAAACCTGTTAATTTAAGGGTAATAATATTTTAGTTTATTCTATGTTCTTATATAAGCACAGTTAAGATCACGATGAAAATGTTTCAATAAATGATACAATATCTATGTTAAAGTTGGTGAGATAAAGAAATATAAAATAACTACTTAGCGGATAAAACGGGGGGGGATAATAAGGGGTCTATGGACCCCCGGTCGGCACGAAGTTTCGATAGAAATGTCGGCAAAAAGTCTTGTTACACATTTTTCGGTCTCGCTCCCATCCGTTCAGAGCGTATACCGCGCGATAAAGAACTTCGTTCCAAAAATAAGCTTTATCACAAAATAAATATATATGAGAGTCTGATTAATTATTAACGACAATGACCTTTACATTCATACAAACATAAATTTATCTCTTTGATTTAAGTAACACTGTTAAATAACCTCATATTGATAAAAAATACTGAAGTGCGGGGTCTATGGACCCCCGGTCGGAACGAAGTTCCGATACAAGTGTCGGAAAAAGTCTTGTTACACCTTTTTCGGTATCGCTTCCATCCGTTCAGAGCGTATACCGCGCGATAATAACTGGATCCTCCTACTGGGCGTCCATAGATCTCTCAGATCTATGGACGCCCAGTAGGAAGTTCCTTTCTCTTCTTGGTAGACGTTTGCTATATATATGAAATATGAAAAAGATGTGAACGTCGACGCGCAACTGAAGAGTCGGAAAAAGGTCTTATTACACATTTTTCGGTCTCGCTCCCATTAGTGATGGAATAATTAGTCTTCACACTCATATTATTATTTAAATGTGAATTCTTAATTAGCAGCTAGCAAATTAATTTTAGTCGTGAAATTTCGTGAACTTCTAAATTAATACGAACACGAAATTTCGTCGCTTTATTCGTTAACGCTTCACATTGACACAGCTCGTGCTTTCTCACTAATGCTTGCTAAATTTCGCGCGGAAGATTACCGAGAGCGGCGCGGTTGATTGATAGTGCAAAGGATTTTATTCTCTATTTTAAAAGGAATGCACGTATTTAGGATTGTTTATTGTATCAATATATTTAAATATCATTAATTAAATTTTTATCACCAACAAGTGGCCGGGAGATTAGGTATTTCTCGAACGAAATTGCAATATAAGCAAATAATATTAGCATTAGCAATTAACATGCTAAGACATAAGAATTCGCAATTAATTAAATTACATCTATTTTAAATTAATGCCCATTACTAGCTCCCATCCGCTCAGAGCGTGTATATATAGAGCGCAATAAGGAACTTCGTTCCATAACAATAATCCATGACAAAATTATTGTTTTAAAAAGAACAGCTTGAAGCATTGCGATTGTGAAATAATTGACTTTTGTTACTTGATTTGACTATAAATTTTATTTAATGAATTTTATTTTGAGTCACAGGAGCTCTTTTCTATGTACACGTCTGACACGGTTGGATACACAGCCTTTGGATTAAGGGTGAGCGTTCTTAAGGATCTGACGTCACCAGTCTGGTACATTACGCGTGATATGGTGGAATGGTCTTTTTGGAGGGGTTTTGAGTTCACCATGATCTTTTTTGCTCCTGCATTAGCTAAGTTAATGAGGTTGGCATTTCTTCTATCTAGTTTTATTAATTTCTTTACATTTTGAAATGAATGATATTAAATGAAAAATATCAATTATTTCAACCAATAAGTAACTAGTTTGCTTAAAGTGACAGTAGTTATCACAAAATTGGTGACATTAATTCATTTTAGAATACTTCAAATCTACTCCTAAGCCAATGATGTAGTAACATACTGGAGGGCAGCGGCAGCCCCCCCATCATTTATATTCTCACCATCATATTATTTGATTATAGTAATCCCTGGCCCAAAAGCTATATACTCTATAGCTAGGTATACTTTTGCTCTCATACGTTTTTTCATTTTTATTTACAATTTTTTTTTTCAGACTGAAATTCTTTTCAGCCTCTGCCACAGCGTACATTAAACAGCTGTTTTGGAGTGTCGCAGAAAAGCGTCAGAAACTATTGCAGCCAAATGATAAAGATCTCCTTAACCATTTAATGAAACTTAAAGAAAACTTGAAACTGCCAGTCGACACTGACACAAGTAAGTTAAATATTGAGGTGTGTTTAATTTTAAATAAAATCCGTTGAAAAATTAATACCTATAACTAAGATCATTCATATGTTTAGATGGACTGTTCAAGCTGTGTATTGTCGGGGTATAATTTATTTATAATATGTATGTATTTTAGATATTTTCTGTATGTTTATCAGCAGTCTGGTTACAGGCTCTGTCTACTTTGGGATCAGACGGCCGTGTGTGAGATGTGTCATTTTATTATTATTTTACAAATCCAGATCTTAGACCTTAATCAGTAAGGCACAAACTATTTCTATCTTATAATCATGAACTTGTACTTCAGCCAAATACGATTTAGATTTTTTACCTACTAAGAAATTGTTTCTTGACAAAAAAGGCGGGACACTTAATATTTATAATAGTTTTTAGAACACTTAATTTTATTAATATACCCAAAATTAAGGGAAAACGCTCAATAACAAGAAAAACAGAGGCGAAAATAGTAAAGAACTTTTTCAGTTTTTGCCTGCATATATATACAGGGTTATAAGAAAAGTCGTGCTAGATCCGTTAAGGGCGTGGAGTACCCATCATTTCTGACATATTTCACTATGAAACACCCTACCCTAAACTTAACCCATTTCGAGATAATCGTCTTTTAATTTTTTTATTGAAATTTGCTGATTTTTAGGCTACTACATTTATTTTTGTTTATTTTGTGTATCTTATTATTATTATTTTTGCATTTTTACATGTGTAATAAGATGCTTTAGGACGTCAGTCATTAAAATAGTTCATAAGTTAATTGAATAGATCGTAGTAGACAAGTGAAAGTAAAGAAATAAAAAAAAATATTAGAAAATTATTTTTCTCTAACGGATATCTAAAAACAATATTATGGTAATTGTTCGGAAGATGTTTTTTAAAATATCTACGTTTCATCAGCTATCTAACGAGATATAATAATCTAAGGTTTTATTCAAATGCATTGAAAAAACTTTAGTTTCATAGGCGACAGTGGAGAAGAAAATTTATACTTAGCCCAAAAAAGTAAAATAAAACAATAGTTAAGCATGAAATGTCATTTATTAAAGGTTTTCACACAACTTTTTCTTATTCTACAGTTCATGTTCAACATGGCCGCCTCTATTTCTGATACATTGTCGCATCCTTCTACGGAGACCAGTCTTCACTACTCCAGTGGTCAACGTGGTCCTCATTTTATTTGCTGCATCCACAATCCTTTCTCGTAAGTCTTCCACAGACGAAACTGGATTCGGCTCGCTGTACACAAGACTTTTCATGCACCCCCATACATGAAAATCCATGGGGGTTAGGTCCGGACTTCTTGCTGGCCATGGCAACGGCCCACCTCGTCCTATCCATTTGTTTCGATAATTTGTGTCCAGCCAGTCCCTGACACTTCTCCTGAAATAGGCAGGGCAGCCATCGTGTTGGAACCACATGTCCCTGATCAGGTTCAGTGGCAGATCATCCAGCAAATCACTCAAGTCTGCTCTCAGGAAATTTTCGTAGCTTTCCCCATTTAGATTATCCGGGAGAAAGTAAGGTCCAATCAAATGATTGGAGATAATGCCCATCCACACATTCACGCTGAATCTTCGTTGGGACCCCTTCACTCTTTTCTTATTGGGATTCCTTAGTTCTTTTGGGGCCCAGTAATGGGCGTTGTGATAGTTAGTTATGCCATCTTTATCAAATTTGGACTCATCCGTCCACAAGATATTTCTTAGAAAATCTGGGTCTTCTACGTCAGCATTTAGCATAAATCTGCAAAAGTCCAATCTTCTCGCGGGGTCTCCTTCTTCAATAACGTGTACCGGCGTGTAATGGTACGGGTATAGGCCAGCAGTATGCACTGTAAACCACACTCTCCATTGCGAAAGTCCCAGATCACGGGCAACAATATTAGTGGAAGTAGTCGGATCCGCTCGAAAGCGTTGCACTATCTCATTGTCCTGTTCTTCGTCGTCAATTCGTGGTCTTCCCGTGTCTGTATTTCGTCTCAAAACAGAGCCAGTTTCTCGAAGTCTTCGATAAACTCTGTCAAAAACGGCCACATCCGGCACTCGACGACCAGGGTAGCGAGTTATGTATTCGTTGCGAGCTTGCGCAGACACACAATCGCAGTATCCGTAACAAATAAGCATATCAGCATATTCCTCAGGTGTGTAGGACGTCATCTTCAACACTTCCGTATCACAGGTACAAATCAGAGTCCGGTTAACAAGCACAGTAGTCACATATCAGAAGAAATAGTCCAGAATCACAGCCAAGTGAGAAAAAGAGCAAAACGATATCACATCTACTATGTACGAAGCACCAAAGCAGACTGACAACTAGTGACAACCAAACAATGCCCCCTGTTATATTCCCAGCCCTAACCGGTCTCTACACATTTTTTCTTTCATTCGCACCTACATAAATCGTCACTTGTCTCGCTCGCTTGGTGCGTCTTAACTTGAAGGACAATAGGCGCGGGACCATTAGAACTGTTACCTGGAGCGTCCCAACTACTTTTTTTCCACGAAATGTAATACAAACCCTAGATTGTTATACCTCGTTAGATAGCTGATGAAACGTAGATATTTTAAAAAACATCTGCCGAACAATTACCATAATATTGTTTTTAGATATCCGTTAGAGAAAAATAATTTTCTAATATTTTTTTTATTTCTTTACTTTCACTTGTCTACTACGATCTATTCAATTAACTTATGAACTATTTTAATGACTGACGTCCTAAAGCATCTTATTACACATGTATAAATGCAAAAATAATAATAATAAGATACACAAAATAAACAAAAATAAATGTAGTAGCCTAAAAATCAGAAAATTTCAATAAAAAAATTAAAAGACGATTATCTCGAAAAGGGTTAAGTTTAGGGTAGGGTGTTTCATAGTGAAATATGTCAGAAATGATGGGTACTCCACGCCCTTAACGGATCTAGCACGACTTTTCTTGTAACCCTGTATATATATATATAGTGCGATGTAACCAATAAGCTTTATATAACATTTTTTTTTTAATTAGCGGATAATCTAATAGTAGCGCAAGCAGCTTTGTTTATCCTCGGAGCTATCGATACATCTGCGGCTACACTGTGCTACCTTCTCCATGAATTAGCACACCATCCCGAAGAACAGGTAATAAGTTACTCTCCAAATGTCTTGCCGAACTAAGTACAACTAAGTTTACTACGTCATCAGCTTATCGCCGTCCACAGCTGAACGAAGGCTCTACAGCTCCCCTATGGAGCGCCAACTATCTAAGACAGCAACTGACTAAGTACCTATATAAGTACAGCCCACATCTGTCCAAAATCAAGAACGCCACTGATTTCCAGTGTCTAGAACTCAACCCCACTATTCTATGAGCTTCAAAATCTGCTCTCATATTGTTCAAAATTACCCGCTCTTGCCTGAATGGTGCGCGACGTCACATGTTCCAGAACTGCATCTCTCTTCGCTTGAGGCTTGTGCTATATCAAGCGAAAGCGATCAAATACATCGATCATCCAAGTTGATTCTTTCTTGGAATTAGAATGTGCCGATGTCTTCGAAAGCTCAATACATAAGAGGATTAAGCAATGGTTTTTATGAACACAAACAAAAGCACCCAAAATATTTTTTTAAAGGGGCTAACCTTCAAGATCTTTTATAAAACTACGCAATTTTCTCACTTTTGATTATTAATTAATTTTATCTTAAACTTTCACATTATATTGATAAAACACTAATGTATATTAGATATTTTACATAAAAAGAATCAGTTTTGTTATGGTGTACAGCAAAATCATTACATTCGGGAGTTATGCTTTATGGTGCATTTTCGCGGTTATTATTGTGTTATTATGTTATAAGACATATAAATCAAATTAAATATTTTATTTTAGGAAAAACTATTCAAGGAAGTTAGCACAGCGTTGGAGGAAAAGGGGAAAAACGTTTTAGACTATAATGACTTATTAGAATTGAGCTATCTCACCGGTTGTATCAAAGGTAATGTTTTTATGAGTATACGAGTAGTACTAACAATGGACTAATGGGATACAATTTAGAGGCACTAAACCTAGATAGTTCAATTTATCTGTGTGGGAATCTACTATCCCGAAGGAGCAGTTTTGTTGTAATATTCCTGTTTGATAAGAGGTTTACACGTGACAAGGTACGAGCACCCCATTGTCGAGCCCAGTAATGGTTTCAGAGAATGTCTTGCCAAGACATAGGTGCTAAAACATGTTAAATCTTGGTATAGACCGTACTCTATTTTCTAGCTGGCAATTTTAAATAGTAAAGGTTTACTTAATGACTTGTCAGGAATGTCTTTAACCAGTATTCTTTGAGAGCATGTTCATTTGTTTTAATTTATTCATTTATTAGTTAAGTTTGCCAAGTTGAAATAAAAATTTTATAGAAAATACAGACAGTAAGCAATGTAACTAGTGAATGTAGACATTCTTAAAACTACAATTTTAGGCAGTTTAATCTATCAATAGATATAGAATTGGTCCCCGTGGTGACGGATTAACAATACAGAGTGTCACCACCCCTATTCATCCCGTGGGATGAATAGGGATGGCCGACTAAGGGAAAAAACTATCAGTACAACAGCACTGCAGAGAGAAGGAAAACTTGACACAAACCCTATACCAACCCGTCTAGCCAGCGTGGTATAGTAGGACAAACCCCCCTTTCTAAGGAGAGGCTTATGTCCAGCAGTGGACTGTTAAAGGCTGTTGATGTGAATCTATCAATAGATACAGATCATGTAAAATCAGGTAAGTTCAACAGTATTGATTTAACTTTTGCCACAGAGACAGTGAAGATCAATTTTATCATTACACCCATTAATTGATTTACACAAGCGTGAGCATGAGGAGTTGACACCTAGAACACTCCTTTTAAGTGGTGTACCTAATAGAATAGCGCGGTATTCTAGCTAACTTATAAATTGTGGACATCTGTGGTCTTCACGGTGTTCTGAATTGTAATTACAGGCAAAACGTACATAGAAAGGCATAATCGATATTCAGCTAATAAGATAAAATAAAATAACAGGAAATTATTTGTGTCGAATTGTTCATCTGATTTACTTGAAACTTGATATTTATGAGTTAATATGCAATAAATACGTACGAGCTTATCCATGTTTTACAGAATCCAGACCCTGCGTTAAGATTTTGACAAAGATGTTAATGTTTATACAGGCGTTATAGAGCAGTCATATATTTCTGGACTTTATTCGAAACTTGTACCTAATTATATAAGTTTGTAGACCATGTGGTTCTGTAACTGACGAGTTATTAGGTTCTATCGTATTTTCTAGAAACCCTGCGGAAATATTCTCCAGTACCGTTTTTGGATCGAATTTGCTGTGAAACATATAAGTTGACCGACGAGGTGACCCTTGAAAAGGGTACTCCTATCTACGTCAATGTTTCAGCCATACACTATAATGAAGAGTACTACCCTAACCCACAGGAATGGCATCCTGAGAGATTTGAAGGCGCGACTGAAAATGATAACCACAACTTCACATTTCTAACATTTGGTGAAGGGCCACGAGTTTGTTTGGGTAAGAATATTTTACAGCTTTGTCCTTTTATAACACACTTTTATTAGCATCACCTATATGATCACACGTATGTAACAGAATCTAAGAACGTGATTTTCACCCTCTTCAAAACCTTAGATTTAATTGAAACTGCATGACCAATCAAGAATTTGATGAGTTTATATTGTCTAGGATCGTAAAGATTAACGATTTCTTTTTGAACAAACGGCAATGGCCAAATTACCTATTGCTAGTACGGAAAAGTAGAGACAAATGTATAATGGTTTAGAAAACTAATATATTATAGCTAGAAATAAGTGGAACCGACTTCAAACAATACTAATAAAGAGCACTTAAAACCTAGTAGCAATTGCGGTTGATTTGCTATCATTTTTTTAAGAGTCCCGTTTCTGTTTCCGAACTTCATAGTCAGATCTATATGAAATTTAAACTATTTCTAAAGAAACACCTTTGGAACAAAAAAGGACAATCCGTCTATATATAACGGAGGTATGCACAAACATACGAAAAAAATATATAAACATTCGAATTAATAACCTCCTCCTTTTTGAATGCAGTTCTGTGTATAAGTACCCGTACCATTCTTCTTTTGCATTTTTTAATAGTAATAACGTTTTTTTTTAAATAACAGGTACAAATATTAAAATTAAATATGAAATACACTTGTTGTTGGTCCGAACTAGATTGAACCTGTATCTCGTGCTTTATATTTAGGTAGTTACTTATGTTTTGCTTTTTCACCTGCTTTTTTTTTGTTCAGGTAAACGTTATGGATACATGCAGCTACGAACTGCAATGGCTCACATGGTGATGGAGTTCCGGTTTGAACCTGCAGAACCATATTTAATTAGACAAGACCCTTATAGTGTAGCATTAAGTCCCTTCGGAGGTGGCAAAGTTAAATTTGTTCCTCGTTAAAAAAATGTGGAAACTGCTGTTTAATTCTATTACATTAAAGAGCTGTTTATACCATTACAAAAAACAAAAACCTTCAATACATCCAAATAAAGAAATAAATATTATTGTATTAATAAATGTTTGTTTTTCCTTCATATCAATATTTTCATATAGACTTTGCGTACCTACATACGACATCAAAGATATTTCACGCAAACTTCGATCCGCAATACAACAGTTGTATTGTGATCGAAGCACGCAGATGATTCTAGATAGCTAGTCTGAGGCCCTAGTGTGAGTTTATTTCACATCAACTCGATCGTCACGGTGACCGCGTTCGGCGTTGCCATTGGGCCCGCACTGAAATTTTCACCAATCATAACGCTAAACGCACCCACCGTCAAGAGCGAGTTGTTGTGAAATAAACTTACGATACGGGCCCTTGGCATTGTAAGTATAACTTTAAAATCGGCTCAGTATAATAATGTAAAATAATAAAATATCTTGACACATCTTACACACGGTTGTCGGATCCAAACAAGGTAGAGCCTGTACTATGGCAACCAGACTGCTGATAAACATACTTATATATTTCTAAATACATACATATTATAGATAAGTTACACCCAGACACCGAACAAACAACAGTGCACATCACACAATTATTTGTCCTGGCTGGGAATCGAGCCCACGACCTCTGACTTAGCAGTCAGGGTTACTAACCACTAGACCAACAGGGGGGACAATAATAGTAAGATTGTAGAGGACTTAGGAGATGATGATGATAGATGCACATCTGTGCTTGTGTTTGTATGAATCAATCCTACGCTACGATTTTTTGCGGATATAAAAGTTTATAGCAACTAATTTTGCAAAGCACCACCTTTAAATTAAATCAAATATTCAAAGAACGTCCCTAGTTAGTTGGTTAGTCTCTCATGGTTTGAATAGGCACTAGCGCCGTGATCAAATCACACAAGGTGATTCAGAGGCAAAAGGAAATTATTTATACAATCTTGTTTTTACTTTACCACAAATAGAAAGTCTCTGATAGAGAATCTTAAAAACTCTTTTTTTTTAACTTGGGAATAGTAGATTTTATTCTGATTAATACCAATCTCGTCGTAGAATCCTTACAAAATTATTATGGTATCACTTCTGCAATCAATAAATCATCTATATATTCCATGCTCAATGGTTTGTGATGTCAAAGTGTCAAACGTGATTTGTTTAACCATAAACTAAACTGTGTTAACAAATGTATTTGACAACCGTAAACATTGTTCACCGAGTTAGTCTTTCGTTACTCGTCGTATCGCGTTGAGGTTTATTCTTCCAAATAAAAGTTCGTCTGACTAAAGTAGTGAGTCTAGAACACCATGGCGGCCGTGTTAAAGAAAAGAGCCCTTGCAGAATATAATAAATCGTTCAAAGTAAGTTCATAACCTTTGAAACTACTTGCATTGCACTGTTTGTTATTATTATAATAAAAACACGTAATTTGACCACTAATCTAAAAGACAAATAATTGTGTGATGGACACTCATTATTTTTTGTGTCTGGGTGTAATTTCTCAAAAATATGTATGTATTTAGAAATATACAAGTATGTTTATCAGTAGTCTCGCTACCATAGTATAGGTTCCGTCTAATTTGGGATTAAACGGCCATGTGTTAAAGTTATTATTATTTCCAGGATAGTCCTCCTTCAAAGAAGCTCCATCTGGCTAAAAAGCCACTAATTGGTAGTTCAGCTGCTGCATTTGTTGGTCTTTTGGAAAAATGTAAGTCTAGTGATGAAGCTCTTCAGTTATTGCTTCGTGTCTCGGACTGTCTTCAATTCCAAGAGTCGGATGTCGAAGAAGCTATTAAAAAGTTATCTGAACATTTCCAGTCTGAAGAAGAATCAGTAGTGAGAGTAAAGATTCTGTGGCTATTTTGTGATATTGGGCTGGAATGCCCAGGTGTGAATTTAAATAACTTGATAGACGAGACAACGCATTTGATTAAGAATGAAACGTCACATAAGGTATCTTCAGATTTACTCATTTATCTTACTATAAAGTTAAAGTGATTATTGTGTTAAAGAAGAAATTTTGTACCCTTGTTTCTTATAGTCAAAAATAATGATAAAATGATATTTCTATTTTATGCCTTCTAGGGCAATCCTATCCTAAAATGGTTTAAAAATCAAGTATTTGTGTCGTTGGAGTTGTCTGCATTATTTAGCATTTTAAGCTTTGAAATGAATAATGGTGTTAATTACTTACTTCAATGATGTAAGTAAAATTGACATACTTTGTATTAATAATGAGTTAATGTTAACAACAAGAATATTGTTACCAGGTGATAGCTCAAGGTATAGCCACTTTATTGAAGCTCGGTAGTAAGCTCAGTGATGACAAAATACTGATGATGCGGCTTGTGGCTGTCGCCAAGGACAACTTAAAGGACACAAGCCACCAAGTGAAGTGCAGATGCTTACAGCTGATTAGTGAACTGTACCCCATCTACCCTGAGTCTGAGAGGACCCCAGACATGTCTACAGAGGCAGATGCTATCGTTAAATTGCTCGGAGATTATTCTCATGCTGAGGTAATTATCAATTTTTTCAAATAACTCAGTCTCAGTAACCTTACATGTGAAAGCTGAAAAATATGAAATCACATAAGTAACAAATATACTATAATCAGCAAAATACGTCAATCTATAAATACAAATGCCAAAAAAAGTTGAGTTTGAGAGTGTGGCAACATTTTTATACACACAAATGTCATTGTGATATTTTTATAATTCAAATTATTAAAATTTAACTGCTAATTTGTGATGTGTTATTTTTAGGATGCTAGAGTCCGTTGTGAGGCATTCCAATCACTTCTGACAATGCATGAGCGGGGTCAAACTTTGAGTGCGAGCTTGTATGACCTGGTATGCCTCGCTCTTACAGATGACTATGAAATAGTCAGAGAAGTAGCCCTGAAACTTGTATGGGTACTAGGCAATAAATACCCAGAGAAGTAAGTACTGAGTAATCTTTTCCCTTTCAGTTCTAAGGGTCAAGTGTTAAATTTTTGTGGCTTAGATCACTTGGCTTAAAACCTGCCTTAATGAGTTGGTCTGAACCTGAATTTCTAATTGATTTAGACTCTCTGACTTCAGCCCCAAAAATGTTTTATTGTTCAAATTGATTGATTTGGTAATTAGGGTGTGTGACAAACAAATAACTATTTTTGAATTTCCAATAATGTATTAAAAATAATGTGTACCAATTTAATATTACAAATTAAAAGTAGTATCCAAATAACTTATTATGTTTAATTTATCAAAAGGAATTTTCGTTAGGGAGTATGTATCACTGGTATATAAATAATAAATAAATATATTTAATCAAAGCCACAATTTTTTTTATGTTAAAATGAAAGTTTGTTACTAAACATTCAACATATAAATTAATACAAAAGAACTACTATCTAATGGGAACAATTTTTTATTATTACAGCACTGTAACTCTATGCGACGGCGAAACAACGATGCGCCTAGTGGATGACGCGTTCGTACGTATATGTTCAGCCGTGAACGACTTGTGCATGCAAGTTCGTGCGCTCGCTTGCACGTTGCTCGGCACCACTCGTGGCGTGTCAGATCGATTCTTGTTGCAGACATTGGACAAACAACTGATGAGTAATATGAAGGTTAGTACTAATGCATAAATGTTAACTTGGTTTGTGTACACTTCAAAAAGCTTAAATTTTGTTTTTATCTATTATTCGTTTCTGTATTGTTTCTGATTTTTCACCAATGCAACCACAATACCACCCAACTATCTAGCTGTACCATAGCCATAGCAAGGTACAGCTATTTTTTTATAAAATCATGTAAACTGATTAAAATTAGGTTAAAAAGCAAAGGTTTACAAAACTTTGGCCAAAGACAAACCAAAATCATACCCAATTTTTTCAGTAATAAGTTATCCCAAAAAGCAACATTTAGAGGGTCTGGGGGCCTAGCATTCTAATACCTACAAAGTTAATTGTTTATTTTCTTTTACATAAAGAACAATTTTTTTATGCTGTTTTTGTCTGACAGATTAAAAAAAATCAATACTAAAAATCAATTGGACTTCTTTGTGTTCATGGGTATGAACTAACAATTAATATCTATTTTAATAAAAATAATTTAATTTTCATGGGTCAAGTAATTTCTAAACACTTGAAACTGGATAAATTTATTATGCATCACCAAGATAAAAATTGTTGATATCTGTGTCTATTGAATAGAAATTTAATTCCACAAGCATGTGTAAAACCGAATTCTTCAATCGCCTTGATAATTAATAATCAAATCACAGCAAAATTTCCTTGGTGTAAATATGTACTTTTCCGTATAATTTTGACGGGTCTATCGTCCGTCTGCAGAAAAAACGCACGGCCCACGAGCGTGGCGCTGAGCTGGTACGGTCGGGCGCGTGGGCCAGCGGCCGTCGCTGGGCCGATGACGCGCCCGGCGCTCTCCTGCACCACGCCACCGTGCAGCTACTGCCCGGTGGAGCCGCCGGAGCCTTTGTACACGGACTTGAAGACGAGCTCATGGGTAAGTGACGTTGCTCTGCAGTGAAGTCAATAGTCGATGTTTCTTTCTTTAAATTCTAGATCCTTTGAACCCGTTGGTATCGTAAGAGACGACTAAGGGGGACTAAGCAGGATCTAATCGTCTGGCCAGTGCCGTAAAGTAAGCTAAAACCACCTTTATAAGGAGAATCCTTGTCCAGCAGTGGACTATTAAAAACTGTTGATGATGATGAAAATCCTTTCTTTGCCAAGACTATAAACTCCTTCTAAAATTATAAAATATAATAATCCTTTTTGATGGCAAAAGGTGTACTCACATGTGCCATTTGCGTATACAATTCCTTCTATGCCAAGCCGATTTCATCCAAAAAATATCTGTTACACTCTGCCTCATTTAACAATGATACCAATAGTATTCATGTGAATGCTTCCTATGATTATCTAAGTGTAACTTTAGTGGTAGTCTTGTAAATGCATGTCTAAAGAAAAACACTAGCATTATGAGCTTGAAGACATCAATTTACAAGAATACCAATGGTTTAAATCAGTAGGAAGAAACACTTTTTGAATTGTGTAATGTAAGATAGAGTGACAGAGTGAGGATGTCTGTTATAAGAAAACAAAAGTTACCTGTGGGTGGACGATTGTGAGCAGGTAGGCGCCAAAATCCGTATACTGACTAGATCAGCAATATTAAAAGCTCCTCGCTACAAGAGCGTTCAGTTGAAAATAACCATTACTAGAGTGTTACAAGGCCTGATGAATGTAAGAGAGGCGAAAGCTGGCTATCGGGATCCTTGTAATATATCTAGTATCTATCTAGTCTGTGCCTACTTCGGTCATGTCGTGGAATAAGTCATGTGACGAAATAAAATAGAAAAACTTTTTTTTAAGCACCTGACAAATTGATCATTAATAGCTGTGGTTATGTGTATTTTATTGGTATTTACCATGAATACAGTACCTATTGTAGTCTACTAAATAAACCATACTAGTTTTCAACAATAATGTCACGACGTACCATTTTCCATTAGAAAAATTAAGTAAAAATATTCAAAATTCTCTCGCCTCTATCTATATTTCATATCTCCATTATCAAAAATGACCTATCCCAGTACTTCAAACTAAGTCTGATAATAATTATCTTCCTCTCCATCCTTTTTATTATATTGATTATCTTATTTTTTCTTTGCGGTTTAACATAATTATTCATTTCGCAAACAAACCTCTACGTCGCGCTATGTTCTTTATGCACAAAACTTAATGAACCCTCACTAACATTATTTCGTGTTATGTATTTGTTAGAGGTCCGAACTGCAGCAGTAGACGCGGTCTGCCAGCTGTCCATGGAGAATGTTGTATTCGCGACAACATCTCTGGACTTTTTAGTAGACATGTTCAACGATGAGATCGAGGACGTGCGACTGCGCGCCATAGACAGTCTCACGCGCATCTCACATCACATCGTGCTCAGGGAAGACCAGCTGGAGATTATATTAGGAGCTTTAGAAGTAAGTATATTAAAACATTGTTTTCAAAACATTTAATTTTTAGAACATCAGTATTTCATTAACAAGCATTTTTTCTAATCCCAAATGCAATAAAGATTTCTAATAGATAATATACGGATAGATATAGCATCATCATTGTTTGTCTGTTTGAACACATATTTATTCTCCTTGAAAAGATCTTCAGAAGGTCTTTATATTTTAATGTAACCCACATACTCTCTGCAATAAACTAATAGGACATTGCTACAGAATAAATGGTAGGCATAAATACCCTGTTAAACAAAACTGGTTCGGTTGCTAGAATATTCTAACATGATTTTTTCTACAGGACTACTCAATGGACGTACGAGAAGGTTTGCACCGAATGCTCGGCTCGTGCACAGTTGCGTCCAAAACCTGCCTTGAAATGTGCATTGACAAGATATTAGAGAATCTCAAAAGGTACCCACAAGTAAGTCAGTTTTCCATCTTACTTATACTTAGGTATTAATTATTCTGCGTTAATTTCTTAGATGGGAATAATAAAGTGGAAACCAGAACGAACTAGCTAAACCTAACTAGTCCTAGCCCAGAAATCAGTGTTGTCAGTTGAAATTCTCATCTAAAAAAAAGAAATCTGTGGGTTATTAAAGAGGCCACCATATTTTTTTTTACAATATTTACAATAACAATATTCATTAGACTTGTTTTCAACAATTTCATCACTCGGTGAGCTTGTTTGCCATATTGATGATTAAAAATATGTCTCATGTAACTTTGGATGAGCTTACCTAATACCCAATGCCAAGCATCCTGAAAAAAAACTAGGCCCAATAAACTTGTCTAATTCATTCGTTTTTTTTTTACAAAAGTCTTGTCTGTGTTCCTTTTTTAAATTAAGATTAAGAGATGATGTACTAAATTACTGTTTCTATCACACTTGATAAGTAAATTCCTCAAACGTTTGATTATTTCAGGACAAACGCTCCACATTTCGGTGTGTACAACGCCTAGGCAGCTCTCACGCTTCGCTGGTGTTACCGCTGACGACGCGCCTGCTCGCTGTACACCCATTCTTTGACATGCCGGAACCAGATGTCGAAGATCCTGCCTGTATCCTTTGGAAACAAATATCAAACTAAATAGACCTAAAATTGTAATCAGAATATTTTTATAGTATACGCGTATTTACTTCTAATTACCATTTTTTCGGAAAAATACACGGGCAGTTTTTATTCAAGTCTTGGGTACTAGAACAAAATGTTACTAATCTCGTCAAGGGATGTACACAAGAAAACACTACGAATGTCAATTCACTGCAAAGTACTAGGATTGTGTGACCAACTGTTTTTTTAAAGACATGTCGTGTATGTCGGTTATCGCGGTAAAAAGTAGCATATGCTCACTGATAATGTAGCTTTCCATTGGTGGAAGAACTTTTAAAATCAGTTTAATGGTTTAGACGTGAAAGCGTAAGAAACAAAGAAATTCACTTTCACATTTATAATATGTATAGCTGGTACCCCCGACTTCGTTTTTGAAAAAAGCTGGAATTTGAAAAGAGCAGCCTTAGAATGGGTTCGATTCCCAGACCGGGCAAAATTTTTAAGGGTTTTCTTAGAGCAGAAATAGCCTAAGTTTCTCCTTATATAGACAGCTACCTGGTAGTTAAATATTTTTAAAATCGGTCCAGCCGTTTAAAAGGTTACCCGGAACAAACAGACAGACAGACTAAAAAAACTGGTTTTTTAGGCATAGGTATCGTGAAAAAAACCGCGTGAGCATGAAAAAACTATTATTTTGACATTACAAACAGACACTTCAATTTTATTTCTATATGTGCATGTATGGAAGCAGGGATTATTTAAAAAATGTGTGTTTAAAAAAAAGCCCATTGTTAGCTAGGCCTTTTTAATATTGAAATCCTTAACCATGGAGTAAACAGACATGTGCGTATTGATCCTGGTATTGAACGCGGCGCAACACTGTACGACCATGCTCCCGCTGTTCGAGGAGCACACCGTCAAGCACTACACGTACCTCCGAGCGACTATGCCGCATTTCGTGCCATATTTACCTATAGGTACGTTTCATCTTATAACTAACATTATAGTGTAATGCCCTGATCATCATCATCAAAACATTTTGCATACACATTTATGTATTTTTACATGGTAGGGGGCCATCCATAAATTATGTCACACGAATTTCTTGGTTTTTACCCCCACCCTCGTCCTAGTCCACAGATGGTCACATTTGTGAGCCACTCACACCCCTTGTCACACAATGTCACACTTCGCCGACCCCATTAATGTGTATGGATGGCCCTACATTAAGCTAGTACTTATCAACAGACTGCTTCTGAGTGTCATGTTTACTCTGCCCATTATTTATTTTTAAATTATTTCTTAATTAGTACAAACAGTTGTTCCTGTTTTCTTGTAAATAGTAAAAACATGAATAGTAATGTAATACAATAGCACTATATTCGTCATGTAAACCTTGACAACGTGAGTTTAATATTTTTGTCTATAATTATCTTTTTACTTTCTTACGGTTAAATCTTCCTATTGTATAGAAACGGTTATTATTTTTAATAGAATCGTCAGCAAGGCGAGCCATTCTTTGTCTGCAGATGCTAGGTACTACTAGAATTAACTTATCAAAAAGGGCAGTGCTTTTATGATGGTGATTTTCAATATTTATCTTGACATCTCGAAAATCCCTTCGGCCATATTGGAAAACAGTTCCAAAACATATTTATTTCTCAAACCTGGTTTCCAATAAAGACAAATAATTCTGTTTTCGAATCTGGTTACCAACACTTCTGTGTTAGTAACCAGTTGGATGTCGGATGGTTGATTGTCAGATCTTTTTTTGAAACTGCCAATATATCTACAAACTCCTTGATTAGAAAGAATTTCCTGGCTAGCTAGGAGATTCCAGCTGCACCACCTCTTTTTGTAGAAATTAATTCTATTACTGGACTCATTTTAACACAATTTCAGAAAGTAACCACTGCTCGAGCTAAATATAATATTAAAAAATTCATACAAATTAAATTCATTTAGGATTAAAAAAATTAACACTTGATACCTATCATTACTGATAGTGGGATGCTTTCTTGTCATTGTCCATAAGAAACTTGTAAGTCACGTGTCAATTATTGTAGATTGGAAGTTTCCGAAGTTTCGAAAGAAGATCCAGCCTTCTGAATTGGTAACCAGTTTCGAGAACAGACTTTTTTTTAAATTGGAAACCGGGTTTTGATTAAGGAGAAATAATTCTGTTTTCGAAACTGGTTTCTAACCATTAGTTTCCAATATGGCCGAAGGGTCGAAAATAGTTCTAATGCACACCAAAAAATGTATTCATTAACAGCCTGCTCCTGTTTTAAACTTTGTTAAAAAATATTGTTGAGCGTTTGGTAATTATATGCATCTTTTAGGGGTTCTTAAGGGCTGTTAGGAAACAAGAAACCCTTACGGTTTCGCCATGTCCAGCTGTCTATCTATCGGTCTGTGGCTTAGCTTAAAAGCTGTTAGTACAAGAAAATTGTGCTTTTGCATACTTCTATTTCGGACATCATGATCATGGTTCATTAAAATCGTAAGCAATAAAAAAAAACTATTAAGGGTTCACGCACGGCTCACGGTTTTATAAATCATATATCCATTATAGATAACATTCACTTTTTTATTCAAAATCGCTCTTAGAAGCCTGTGAACATCTCAGGAGTCTTTTGTGCTTCTATAAGGAGCTTAGTTGGCTCACCTAGGCAACCTTTCATTGACGCGTAAAGGACCACTCTCGAGTCTAAATGCGGAAATCGGAGCCCACAACCCAATAACTTTCACTTTCTATGATAATAATTCAGATAATGCACAGATGGTGATGTTGCACGCCCTAGAAAGTATCAACCAGTCAAATTCTATTTTATGCACCTGGTACACACACCGACTTAATCTCTAAAGCATTTTCTAATAGTCAATTTAATTATTAGTTTATGCAGAGGAACCACGAAGAAGTTGAATTTTCTGTTCAAAATAAGTTTAATAAATAAAACAATACACTATTAAACCATACTAAATATGATAAAAATATAATATAATAATATCTCACACAAGGCCAACTGATCCCAAACGATCCCAAACTAGGCAGGACCTGTGCTATGGAACCAAGATATAAATATATATACATATATTGGTATATTGGCAAAGATCAAGTTGATTCCGCTAAGATTGTCCTTTACTTATACATTAAATTACTAACAATTGCTGGCCATCCTGATTCCGAGGAGAAGCACATTGCACAAAACAACCACTGATCGAAAAAGGACTAGGCAACAAGTTCGGACGTACATACGTCCGAACTTGTTGCCTGTGATGTGAGGGATAACGAAATTAACTGCCGAATATTTGTGGGGGAAGAACGGAAGATATTATTTAAAACGCGTCGGCATTTAGCATTAAGTTTCATCGGAAAACACTAATTTCACACATTTTAGTACATATTCCGTGCAATCCCTCTTAAATTTATAAAAGGGGTTATGTCTCCGCTGCATAGCCATGAGTACTGCCTTCATCATGCACGGTTCAAGTTGCGTCATTAGTTCAAAGTTATTTATTTATAGAATCTACATTTTCGGACAAGATAAAATGTAAAAACAAAATTCGTTTTGAGCCAACTCTACAATATCAAGGTGGCCGTAAACCTTCATGTCACTATAAGCCCCTGTCAAGTCGCCAAAGTGATTAAGCAGGTGCTTGTATTAAAGCTTGAATATGGATCAGCTACAGAGACAGTACCATCATTGTCAGAGGATAAAGCAGACTCGTAGGCCGTAAACAGCATATCAGAGTCATCATCATCAAGGCATCATAGTTTAAAAAACATGAATAATAAAAATAATAGTCTACACATACTATCAAGAACCTCCTCCTTTTTTGAAGTCGGTTAAAAAGAAATAAAAATATATTCAACTACGAAATCCGTAAGTAGGTAAGTAATACGTAAACGCTTGCATTATTGGCATGGCATTGTTCCTCTACACCGCACACTAGGGTGCCCCGTCAATGTATGGGTTTTTTTTTTTTAAAGCGACGGCTACGCAAGAGGTATCAAAAGTTGCGTTTTTGTGAATTTAATTAAATATTTGTCATCTTTAGGCCTCTACCGATCCTAGAAGTTTTTCAAATTTGCCATTTTTAGAGGTTTCGAACATAAACTATAAATGATACAAAAATAATGTTTTAAAGGTTTTAATCGAATTTATAGGTACTACAAAGACATAAGGTAATGTTCAGTAAAGTTTAAATACTTATAATTAGTGCTTATTTAAAATACGAAATTGGTTCTTGTGGCCAAAATTAGGCATTTCCGCGCGAGATTTTAATCTGTTTCTGATTAAACCATCCCGAGCTGTAGCGTCCGTGACACTTAGAGAAGCCTCCGTCACTAGCTTTACACATCTTTCCACTGATTGTGTATGACAGGGGAAATCAATAACATCGAAGCTTTGTTCTTTAGCCTTAATTCTCAGTTCGTCGTCGGACATCTGTCGCAAAATCGGTGGAGCGGATATCTCACACTCTTGCCAAAATATCAAATCGATGTAATATCGCGCATCGAAGTTAAGTTTTGGTACTTTAAATACCCTGCGAGTATTGCTTATTTCTGCTTCTCTTGCCTTTAATATTTTGCGAGCTGCAAGCTCTCGAATATGCTCTCTGTCGTCGAATAGCATGGTAACAAGTTAGTTTTCAGGGTGAGCAAAAAAAGCGTTTCTCTCGATCACTGAACTCACAATAGATCTTTGCTTATCAGGCAAAAATCGGGAGTATGTAACCATTTGAAAAATATGATTGGCTCCATCTTTGAATGATGAGTTTTTCTTAATGAGGAACCAAACTGGAGCATAAACTTTGACCACATAATTGACAAGCAGCTTTAAATTATTTGATGGCGAAACAGTACTTACATAAAGTCTGAGTATGCGATTGGCAGTAGTTAGCCATCTTGAATGCGCCATTTTTCCAGGTTGGCGGCTCGCTAACTCAGGGGAACAAGAACCAGTCGTCACAGCATGACACATTTCATACAGATACTTTTGATCCGTACTTAGTTCCTTCACAATGTCATCAGGTAATTCGAGCAAATTGCCAGCCACTGCACAAAAAGACACTAGTGGTTTACTTTCACAAACATTTAGCTGTTTTCCAATAGGTGCTGAGTATTCTTTCGGCCCAGATGTGCTACCATCTAGAGACATAAACAAATGGCGAAGCGGTAATTCATTTGTGTGAAGCATACAAACACACCATTGTAACGGTCTCTTCAAATAGTCTTCCAGGTATTTAATGACACCTCCTTTCCAACCTGTATTTGTAGGAGTGCCATCGCAACCCACACAACTTACTTCTTCTAAGTTCCATCCTTGATTTTCTAACAATTTTATAATAGAAGTGACAATCCCTTTCGCAGTACCTCGACTCGGCGTCGTATGTCCCAAGTAAATAGATCCCGGCTCTGTAAGAACTGAAATGTGTTCTTCTAAGACTTCTTTTCGGTGGTACCGGCTGTCTATTTTATTGATCTTGAGAGTTTTATCTTTTCGCCCATCGAAGTAGATACTCTTTATAATAATTTTATCGATGTCTTTGCTGGCTTGGGTACGTGACTTTGAAACAGCTCTGTGAATCTTATTTTTATCAATCACAAGGTTTAGATCTTCGGAAGATACCATTCCTACGTCAACTAAGACTGCTGAAGCGACTGCAGCTGCCGAACGCGTTGATAGTCCGTATCAATCACATACCTTAGCTACTGTTGGCAGCGTCAGAGTGTTCCGACTAAATGAATTAGATATAGACTCCTTTAAGTCACTTTTAGTAGAAGGTTCTATTGAAAGCGACTGTGAACGAGGCGGCAACACGCGTACCGGTACAGTATCGGTTTGTGAAGTACTCGGAAAACATGCTTGCTCTGTCCGCTTCAAATTTTCTTGTCTTTGATGTTTCTTTAAAAGCCTTGCAGTTTCTTTAAAAGCCTTGCAGTTTCTTTTGCGTCTACGCCGCTTATTGCCATTTTCCTATCATTTCTTTGGTCCAGTAAAAAATCTCTTTCAGAAATGGGAACTTTCTTGGGTTTAGTGCAGGAACAATTTTCAAACGAAGTGCACTTACAAGCAGCGATGTCAAAAAGCTTATTTGACGATTCCAAAAAGCACTTAGCTTTGTTGTCATAGCTATCGTTTCTCTTACTTTTAGGATATCTTATTAGTGATAAATATTTGTTAAAATATGCGGTTAGCAGTTGAGTAACCCGTACGTTAGAAACGATGGGAATTGAAGCTTTGGTCCAAATTGTGTTAAGTTTTCCATAAACTATTAAAAAGACTTGTGTGTTCGATGGATCTTTTCCGTTTTTCTGTAGTTTTAATTCACTTTTAGTAAATAAAATGCACTTAATAACGTCTTTTATAACAGGTAATTGGCGATCGTCAAGTTCTTTATAAGGTCCCAATATAGTACAAGTAGTCGCCTTGAACACATTTTTTTGATTAAGTAACGTAAATTTCGTTTTTCTTTCAAAGAAGAATAGAACAACTCCTTACAAGAGTAAAATCGAAATGAGACGAACTGTCTTGTTGTAGAAATAGCGCACGTACGAAAATCAAGTCAAAACATGAATTTTGTAGGAATTTTGCAAGTCCGATCCAAACCGATTGATCGCTAAAACAACCTGTCGATACTTGCAAATCATAGCCGAGGCTTTTCTTATTGATAAAATTACAAGACAAAACAGGATTGATTCATAAAACATAGAATATACGACATTGACTACAAGGTTGTTTTTGCGAATTTTCAGTAAATAAAAATGCTGGTAGAGCCCTAAGGATATTTTTAAATATTTTTTGAATTATTTTTACGCTAATCTACGTCTAACAGCGCAACTTTTGAGAGGTCTTAAGTAGCTAAAATAAGAATAAAAAAAAATCGGGACACCCTACCGCACACCAAGTAAGACCACAAGTAATAAGAGTCAATACATCATAAAAAGAAAAATAATATGAACAAAACCAAATTCATTAAGAGAAATAATAATAATAGTAAAAGTGTTACTGTAACCATAGTATTAATAATACGTTTACGCAATTTTAAACGTAACTCGATGTACCAAACGTCAGATTGACAATGTCAAATTGAATATAAAAGAGGGGTAGGCAAAGCCAAAAATCAATACAAACGCGAGAGAGCGTCCATAAACAACTAAAATCAATAAAGTCCTTTGAGGGCTTGCCCTCCATCGCACAGTCGCACTACACATTACGAAGCCATTAGACGAGAGTTAAGGGTGGGGTAGGCAAACTTAAAGTAGATATTATTGCATAAACCTATTAATAAATAAGTGGTGACAAAACAGTGTTGTTTACCTGCTCATCGTCCAATAAATTACATGCAGAAAAGCTTTCGAGTTAACAGTAGATTAATGGAGTCACTTATTCACAAAATGAAGTCACTAACGCCGGATACGCTATACTCCGCTCGGAATATTCAGGCGAGACATTTTTCTTATTGCTACTCCTAGTATAGGTTGCATTAAGAGTTATTGGGTATTTCGACATCAGTTTACAAGATGAGCTTATGAAGTTGCGTATTGGGCGTGGCCAACCCTTAGCAAACGAGTTTAAGTTTTGTTTATGATGTCCAATACAGCTTTGCGACCATATCTTTTGAGGGGCCTTTGCACTGTAATTGTGACTCTCAGATTGTATTGTAGTGCTGGTACGATGTTTCTGTTAAAATACTAGGTCCGCATATACTCGCACATGTGTTAGGCGACACCTACTGCCATAAAAAAAAAGGAAAGAGGAGAAGAAACTCAATGAGCTGCATCATATTTGTATTATGACTTTATAAATGAAATTTTATCAGGTGATGCTCAACAATCAAGTGCTGAAAAGATTGAGTCGGCGATGGATGACAGCGCCGTCCGGCGATTCTTCGATTCAGTGTTGCAGCATATCGACAACACCACACTCTCTACCAATGTCAGACTTAAAATGCTACAGTCGGCTGAAGAACAACTCAACAAGTAAGTAAACTTTAAGTTCTTAGATACTTAACTATATTCTACTGATGTTTATTTCCAAAGTGTCACGGGAAACACTGACCAATTCAGTGTCTCTGTAGGCTTGCACCAGGGATCAGCTCTGAGCCCATACCTCTTCCTGTTGATAATGGATGCTCTGACATCGGACATACAGGAGGAGGCACCTTGGTGCATGCTATTTGCAGATGACATTGTGTTGGTCGGTGAAGATGGGGTTGAGGTCCAGAGCAGACTGGAAAAATGGCAGCAAAGGCTGGAGAATGTTGGCTTGAAAATCAGCAGAACCAAAACTGAGTACATGTTCTGCGATTTCGGCGGTCTCTCCAGTCCTGAAACCATTTCGCTGGATGGGATAGCGATAACAGTCTGCTCCAATTTCAAGTACCTCGGCTCCCTCTTACAATGTGATGGTGAGATTGATCGAACTGTACAGCATCGAATCAATACGGGATGGATGAAGTGGCGGCAGGTAACGGGAACAACTTGTGACCCCAGTTTCCCCTTAACACTGAAGGGACAAATTTATAAAACTATTATCAGACCTGCCGTCCTGTATGGCTCTGAAAGTTGGCCCATTAAGAGAACGGATGAGAGACGCCTGAATGTAGCCGAAATGCGAATGCTGAGATGGATGTGTGGTGTGACTCAGATGGACAAGGTTAGGAATGAGTATATACGAGGGAGTCTGAAAGTAGCGCCACTGGATGAAAAGTTAAGAAGTAATAGGTTATCTTGGTATGGACATGTCATGCGGAGGGATGAGGAAAATGTGGCGAAGAAAGTTTTAGGTATGAGAGTTGAAGGGTACAAGAAAAGAGGCAGACCGAAGAAGAGGTGGATGGACTGCGTCAGGGAGGATATGGCTAGGAAGGGATTAAACAGTGAGATGACGCATGACAGAGTAGAATGGAAAAATCATACATACTGCGCCGACCCCAAATAAAATTGGGAAAAGGGTAGGCAGATGATGATGAGTATGTTTATTTCCAAAGTGTATTTGTTTGTCTTATGTAGGATGTTGATTAAATTTAGTTTTATGTCAAATAATTTTAACATCACTTAAACACTTTCAATTGAACGCAGTATGATTTGTGTAACATTGTATTGTTACCTATATCGATGAGGTAAGAGTATTTCAATGAAATAAAAAGAAATTTTTGAAACATTGTCATTTGCTATCCAAACTGTTGGTATATCATTAACCGCCCTGGCTTTGCACGTGTTCAATGTATAATATTACAATACAAATCTTTGAAATACTCGTATTTTCGCTACTATAATATGCATGTATTTATACATATTATACACTTTACATATAATACACTTAACACATATAAATTACTTTATCTTGAATCACTTGTTCGATTGATGAAAACAGCATTAAAATCCGATGCAGTCTAGAAAATTAGATTCTGGATGTATTACACGAGAGTCGATCAAAACACGACCCGACGACGAAATGATATGCTGTAAATAGCAATTTTAATCTATATTGAATGCACAAGGTATCTAACGTGTTCAATTGGATAAGGAATAATAATGTATTGTTTAAAATAGCTTCGTAAAAAACCCATTATTTTTTTGTAATATTTAAAAGATAAAAATGGTTACTGTGGGTTATCCTTAGGAGATAGCCATATACCTAGACTTTTTTGTACATCTTTTTAAGATATACAATTCCGTAGTACATTATTTTAGTCCATCTAATAAGGTTCAGCCAACGTTTGCAACGTAAGCGCCCAAAAACATGTTTTTTACAACAAATCTTTAAAATTCTCGGATTTTCTTTACTATAATATTATTATTTGTGTATTATACCTTACAAACCTTCCTCTAGAATCAATCTCTCTATTATTGTGCATTAAAGGCCGTTGCTTAGTTTAAAAGATCTAAGCGTACAACATAAAAAAGCGACTATATTTTATACTATGTAAAGATGTTGTTGATATTATGGAGCTCCGTATCTGAAATAGAAGCTTCAAATATTTTGTAAAAGAGAGCACGTCGATCAGTTGAACGGGTGGCGTACGCATGCGCCTGGCAAACGTGCGCGCGTCTATTGAATTGTCTTATTATTAATATTGGTAGGTATTATGGCCAGGTGTACACATTTGCGCGGATCATCGCGGTAAACAGACGTGTAATGCTTATTTATACACGTAAAAATATTATTTAAAATTTAAACTTACTCATTTACGACATGGTTTTATTCGGCATGAGATCAAAAGTTATCAAGTAACTATTACTAACGATTGTTTTGTAGTGATGAGCCCTGGTATGGGTATACTTTAGAGTTGCTTCCTCCAAATTATACCCATACCAGAAGTTATCATTGCAACTGCCTGAGACCTGAAACAATGATTACTGCAAACATGTCCTATGAAGAATTGGCTGTGACAGAAAACCATCACGTAAGTTCTATTTTAAGGCTCCTTTTTTATTCACTCCACACCGGAAAAAAAAGAAGAGTTACATACTTTGCTACACTTGACTGATTTAGCTTACTTATTTTCCATTTTTTGTTTTTAAATAATATTTAAAGTTATTGGTGTTATTGAGCTCTGTAACCACCGGATATCCGAAATAAATAAAATAACTGTAACCGCATCTGACATAAAAGTTTCAAATATTTTGTAACGAAACGTCGGTAAAGTCTAAACGGGGAGAGCACATTGATCGGTTGAACCGTTGAACCGGCGACGTACGCATGCGCCTGGCATACGAGCGCGTCTATTGAATTGACTTATTATTAGTATTGATTACAATATTGCTAGGTGTGCACATTTGCGCGGATCATTGCGATAAACGGACGTGTAATACTTATTCATACCCGTAAAAATCTTATTAAAATTTAAACCTCATCCTCTACGACTTGTAATTTATTCGGCACGACATCAATAGAACATTATCAAGAAACGGTTATTACAGCAATATTCTGGAAAAGTGATGTCCGTCTAATTATATTTCTTTGAATAGTTTTTTTAATGGAAATCAGTTGGGTTTATGTTCGCTGCAGCTTTCATTTGCTTTTTGGCTTTACATGGAAGTGAACGCATTGTTTTGTGTATTTACCTGCGTTTTTTCAAAATCACAGTTGTTTATCTAAATTGTAGAAGACAGAAGATGTTAATCCAAATGAAATAATTTTGAATCATTGTCATTTCTGATGTTAGTGATATAATTATAAATTCACACTTTGAAAACTAAATGTTTAATTTACACGGGTGAGTCGACCAAACGACGTGACAAATTCAAATCTAATCCAAAAGAAACTGCTACGATGAAGAATTGTTATGTAGTGATGAGCCCTGGTATAGGTATACTTTAGAGTTGCTTCCTCCAAATTATACCCATACCAGAAGTTATCATTGCAACTTCCTGCGACCTGAATCAATGATTGCTGCGTACAAGTCCTATGAAGAATTGGCTGTGGCAGAAAATTATCAAGTAAGTTCTATTTTAAAGCTACTTTTTTATTTAGACGACACTTGAAGAGAAGAAGAGTTACATACTTCGCTACATTTAACAGATTTAGCTAACTTATTTAAGAGAGAGCACATCGATCGGTTGAACGGGCGGCGTACGCATGCGCTTAGCAAACGTGCGCGCGTCTATTGAATTGTCTTATTATTGATATATGTTATAATATTCCCAGGTGTACAGATTTGCGCGGACCATTGCGATAAACAGACCTGTAATATTTATTGGTATAAAAATCTTATTTAAAATTAATGCGTTCTCATTTACTTATACGAAATATATATTTTTCGGTGCGACATCAAAAGAGTTTTATCAAGAGACGGTTATTTATGAAATATTCTGGAAAACTGATATCCATCTAATGATACTTCTTTGCATTGTTTTCTTAATGGAAATCAGTTAGGCTTATGTTGGGTAAGAGGTGATTGAGTGCTTGTCTGCGTTCTTGAACACACATTTATTTTGTTAATTATATGGTAGATGAAAAAGAACGTTAATGAAATGAAAAGGTTTTAAATCGTTGTCCTTTCTGATGTTAGTGATATAATTATAAATTATCACTTAAAAACTGGATGCTTATGCTGGATTAATTAACAATGGGATTGCGACCAAACGACGTGCCAAATACAAATTTAAGTCAAAAGAAACTGCTACGAGGAAGAATTGTTTTGTAGTGATTAGCCCTGGTATAGGTATACTTTAGAGTTGCTTCCTCCAAATTATACCCATACCAGAAGTTATCATTGCAACTTCCTGCGACCTGAAACAATGAATGCTGCATACATGTCCTATGGAGAATTGGCTGTGGCAGAAAACCATCAGGTAAGTTCTATTTTAATACTATTTTTTTATTCACACCGCTCTGGAAGAGAAAAAAAGTTATATACTTCGCCACACTTGACAGATTTAACCAACTTATTTGCCAATTTTTGTTTTTAAAAATATTGAATGTTGTTGATATTATTCAGCTCCGTAACCACCGGATATCCAAAATACATAAAATAACCGTAACCGTATCTGACATAAGTTTCAAATGTTTTGTAATAGAGGTGGAGTCTAAACGGGGAGAGCACATCGATCGGTTGAACCGGGGGCGTACGCATGCGCCTGGCATACGTGCGCGCGTCTATTGAATTGTCTTATTATTGGTATTGGTTATAATATTGCCAGGTGTACATATTTGCGCGGATTATTGTTATATTTAGTAGCGTAAAAAAAATATTTAGAATTTATGCGTTCTCATTTATTTATACAAAATGTATCTTGTTCAGTGCGACATGTAAAGAATTTTATCAAGAGACTGTTATTTATGAAATATTCTGGAAGACTGATGTCTATCTAATGATGTTTCTTTGAATTGTTTTCTTAATAGAAATCAGTTGGGCTTATGTTGGTCAAGGGTTGAATTTGGTCTTTTGGCTTAAATATAGCTTGGTGTTTTGATTGTTTGTCTGCGTTTTTGAAAACAGATTTGTTTTGTTATCTATATTGTAGACGATAGA